TGAGAAGTTTGTCCTTCCACCCACAATGAAGAGTCATGGGGGTCTGGGCCCCTCAGTGTTGGGGTCAAACTGGGCCTGAGAACATTACTTCTCTCTTCTCAGACCTCAGCTTCCTCATGAGAATCCTGAGGCCCTGGGGTCTCCCTGTGACCAGGCCTTGTATGTGGGGACAGGACCTCATACCCTCCCTTTCCTCCAAAGCTTACCAAGACTCAGAAGGGCAGTGAGGACCAGGGCTGTGGCGCTGCCCGGCATGGCTCCCGGGGCTGCAGGTGTAATACACTGACCACAGAGCCTGGGAGGGACCGTCACTGGGTGTGCTGAGTCCTAGGGCCTGTGTTATGTGTCATGTGTCATGTGGCTTTCTCGTCAGCAGCCTTACAAGAAGGGAACAGCCCCTCTCTGTGGCCTGGCTCTGCTCTCCCCAGATGTTGGGGCTGAGGACACAGCTGACTGTCAGGAAACCTTTCAGACCAGCTTTGAGTTCCAATCCTGAGGCTGTCTTTCACAGAGTCTGGATGGACAGGAGCAAGTCGCTTCCCCTTCTGAACCTCCGTAAACATTAATTTCCTTCCTTCCTTCCACCATCCAGACAATCAGCCAGTGACTAGTGAGTTCTCACCAGGTGCAGTCATGGTGGCCGGCACTAGAGATTCAGGGAGGAAGCACATGACTACTTCCTCAACTCTGGAGCTCAGAGGAACACAAGACACCAAAGTATTTTGACAATGGGTAATTCAACTACAGTTCAGCCAAGTTGTAAAAAGGAGCAAAGTAGGAGACAAGGAGACTCACATGTGGACAGCATGTCACCTGAGTGATGGGACTGTGGAATCCCTGGAGCAGGGAGAGACCAGGGCTTTAGGGATTAGCACAGAGAGAGGGGAGTGGTACCTCACTGCAGTGTTGGGAGTTAGTTAGCATCTCTTCTAGGGCTAACTCCCACCTAAGGACTTCTTCCTGTGGGGCTGGTCAGAGAAGGTGGGGAGGATGCTGACCAGATCCAGACAGAACCTGAGCTCCTGTATGAAGGAGAACAACGCGTCGACGCCGGTACCTGTTCCCACACAGCCTTGTGTACTGTACAGTTATTTTGGATTTAGTCTTTAAGGATGGGACATTTTCACCAACGGAATGTGTTGCAGACCGTGTAAGACTAGTCAGAGGTTCGAGGCCCTCTAGGGCTGAGTGTAACAAATGAGGCCACTGGCAGTT